AATTGCAACCAACTACAACGAAAAGGAAAATCTAAAAAAAAAATAATAATAATAATAATAAATGATAAAAAAGGAGAGAGAGAGAGAGAAAGAAGGAGTTGGTAAAGGCCGCTACATTGTAAATTAGCTACTACGACCTTTTTTTCCAGAGACCTTTTTTCCAGGACTTTTTTTCATAGGAATCTTTTTTGTCGACTGCCAAGTTCATTTTCACATAAAATGTTTTACTCCCTGTTTCACTATACTAGATATTAAGAGGACAATATCGATATATTTTTCTTCCGTACCTTTTTTTTACCGAGACCTTTATTCTTCCAGCTAGTCCCTATACCTAGAATTTATTCCGGCCCTTTTTACGACTACTAGATCAGATTGATAGATTATGGTTCTTCAAAAACTGAACTTTTGCATATTTACAAATATGTTTTAGTAAAACAAATAAAATGGGAAAAAATAGATTTTCATGATAAAAAAATAAATGTGCATTCACGAAATAAATATAATAAAAAAAAGGCCGCACGAGGTTGACCTTTTACTCAAACATCCTCAATTTTTGACTCACAGAAAACAATAACTTCTACACAATCGTCTAAAACAGTAGCTTATTAATTTTATGGAAAGAAAGGAAATCAGAACATACGATAAACAGAATTGGGAAATATAACAGAAAAAAGATTCAATACCGAAGAATAATGTAAAATAACGAAGGAAAAAAAATGATAATAATAAAACAAAAAAATTATATCTATACGACAACGCCTTGGAATAAAAGACATAGAGCATTCGTGTGACACACTTCGAATGGATAATTCTTTTCTATTTTTTTTTAATAATTTCTTTCTTTTTTTTCCGCCTTTTTGAGCAGAAACAATGACCGAAATTCCGAACTTCCAATTTCTTCACCCAAAAAGAATAGAAATAGTTAACTTCGGTCTCAAAGTCAGTCCTAGAAGTCGAAGGGGGTGGGAGATTGGCAACAAGATCTCGTGTCCATTTGGGCAGCCAATGACCACCGTTAAGACAATGGGTTAGAGTCCGATGTCGAAGGGTGACGTCATTTATAATTTAGAGAGGGGGAGGGCGAGCTATTATTGGCGCATAAATCACCTCTGGTTCAAACATAGTGTTTTTTTTTTCTTTCTTTGTTTTTTAAGTAAAGGGTTGTAAGTAAAAGAAAGGATTGAATGAGTGATCTAAACATTGGCGGTGAGATTGGCGTAATATTAAATTATATAGTTTATGCATTAAGAATACTTTTTTTCAGACAAAAATCAGTAAACGCTCTAATGAATATTTTAATAAATTAGTTTGAAATAGGAAAAATGATCGGTAAAAGGAACAAGCTAAAAATCTGTCATGTTATTCATGTTTAATACACATTAATTTCTGAAACCTTACCATTTTTGCTCAAATTAAAAAAAAAATGATAAATTGAAATACAATAAAACTTTAATATCAGGAACTGAAACGAAGACATTGAAATATTTGATGATATGAAAAATTTGGGATAGTGAAAATTGCAGCATTTTTACCAATTTCGTTAAATATTGTAGAAATCTAAAAGTTATGTAAAGTGAAATTATTTCCTAAATAAAACAAAAGCACGAACTTTTGATTTCTTGTCACAANTTCATATCAAAAATCCGAATATTGAAATTGGGAATCAGAAAATTGCATGATTGCGATGTGTAATTATCATTATTGTTTTACTTTTAAACATATATTTTTGCCAAACATTTTCAAACAAATTTATGTTTTGGAGAAACTAATTGATTATAAACATTCTCAAAATGATGTCGAAACCAAAACTATTTTTATACAATGATAATGGTACACGCTACCCATATCTTTTAGTATATGATATAATAAATGTTTGTATATTTTACCTACTATATAGTTTATCATGTATCTGTATCTATATTTTGACGTCAAGGTTTTATATCTTTATTTTACTACGTCAAGGTTTAACGTATTTATTTAACTCTCTCAACTTCTTTTAAAAGCAACGCTTCCATCTTTGTTTTAATTAAAAAAAAAAAAAAAAAAAGTCTACATAAATTTTTTATGTATCTTCTACGCAGAAAAACAGTGTGAACTGTGACGAACAAGGTGTATTATTAACATATTTAAATAAATAACAAATTTAAACAATCGAGTTGTGTAATGCACCAATAGAGTATGAAACCTCTCACTGTCAACCAGACGAATAATATCATTCCCACATAAAATCCGTCTATTCGAAACATTTTATGTCAACACTACGGTCAAAATAATGAACAGAAAACGTCATTCAAATGCACAGATTTATTGATACCGAACTTTTGTTCCAAAAAGCAAAGTTCAAGTGTCAAATTCAGAACTCCATTTATTTTATATACTCCATAGTGAAACGAAATGATATTCAATTATTGCGTGTAAAACTTCTTTTTCTTCATGGACACAACCGTTCAATATTGTAACGGTGTAAGGTTCTAACTGTACCTGTCTTTTCCCGAATGGTATTTATAATCCATCCCGTAAGTCATTCAATCATTATTTTATCCACCACCGCAATACACTATAAACTTTAACCTGTAAATTGCAGAAAAGGCTTCATATCCGCCAAATTCTCCAAAAGAATGAACGCCAAATTCGGATAAAGATGCTACCATAGCTGCATCTAAGATCTTGAGCATCTTCTGAAAGATCAACGGAGCGTGGTAGATCGGAATCCTCTATTCGCAGCGGATGTAATTGACGAGACGATTGGTTCCACTTTGTTGCCTGCCTCATTCGAATTTCACTCGGGGGCCCCCTTTTTTGCACTTTTAATGTTATATGTGGGTGCCCAAGCCATCATTTACAGGTTGTGTGTGGTTCCTCTGATGATGGTACGTGGGCAACTGATTGTATGGCAATAACATTAGTTTAGAACACAACATGAGATCTCTTTTTTATTGCTAAATCGCTTTTATGCTATCCGATGATTGGCTTTGTTGTTAGATGTGTCCCCCCCCCTCGACTGAGCGAGATATTTATTTTTTTTCATGTCTGGAATCATAACGATCGAGTTTAATCTTTCTTATGCAACAACTCTTTCCAAAATTGATCTAAAAAAACTGATAAATATTTGTTTCTGAATTGGTATATATAAGGTCTGCTTTTATACATACGGAAAGTGATACCTGTTTAGTATCGTCGGTCTTCAAATAAAGGGGGGAGGAAACTGTACAATTAGAAATTTTAGAGCGTCTTGAATCATGTTATTGTTTGCTGCATATGGCGCTAAGTTTAACCAAATTATTGTATTTCTTAAACTTTAGGCTGTACAATGGTTCAAGTTGTAGGGAAACATGGTTCAATTTAACAACTTCATAAAATTATTAAAAATGTATGGTTCAACGTTCAAATATTTTTTTAATGCGTGCTCAAGAGAACTTTGAACATAAGTACTTAACACAGAGTTTATAAAAATAGCACCATTAGTATATATAGTTTCTCCGAGATTTTAAAAAGAACGAAGGGAAAGAACTGTTAAAAATTTTGGTGCATAATTGCCACCATCTTTGGTGTTCAGGTTAAACTAGAAGCATTTTCATTCACAGAACTGTAGTTATCGTGCAAAAAAATTATATAAAACTGACAAAATAACAATTGTTTGAAAGAATTATTAATAAAAAGGTACTTGCTTTTAAAACGAAATGTTTTTACTATGACGCCATTAATTTTATTCTAATGAGCAAGAAAATATGCGTTGCCTGTAAACAAGCAACAAATTATTAATAAATAAATTAATAAAATTACGACAGTGCAAATGTTAAAAAAAAATTTGACTATACACACAGTAAAAAATTTCAGGTCACCTGAACGCTAAAAGGTGTGGCAACTATACATTAAATGTTATTACCGTGTAACAAGTAGACTTAGAAAGCCCCTCTCGATTACAATTATGCATGTTATTTCGATTGAAAGGTTTTTAGGGATTGTTTTCTCAATTAAGTTAATAAAGAAATACAATAAAAACATTAATCTATAAAAAATAAATTATTGCTATTATTATTATTAGTAGTAGTAGTAGTAGTATTTTGAATTTTCGAGATTTGAATGCATTTAAGATTCAAATTTTCCGTGCTTTTTTCCCAGCGCTGTTCAAGTTTTTCTTTAATCCACAGTACAACTATATTTTCTAGTAAGTACATCATCATTCAAGAGCGTTAATTATTTGAAAAAAAGTTTCATTAATTTTTTATCCTCTTTTCTTCAAATAGGAATCATGTAGGGATTTTTCTTTCATATATTTAAACAAAATGGACTATTCATTGCAGTGCATCTGTATATATAATAGATATCTACACCACGGAAATCTGCAGTCAAAATCCCTACTTATTTTTTCTATTATTATTCATTCAAACTATGTTTAAGTCTAGTTAGTATTTGTTAATCCTAATCTTAAAAAAATAGATTTATTTTATTACTAATGCTTAAATTGTAAAGACTAAGGGTGACGATTAAAGTTCGTAAGAGAGAAAAAAAAGAGTGAAAATATGTTTAGAATGAAATGTAGAAAAAGTACTAGAAAAGAGATTGATTATTGTAAAAAAGAAATACATCTTTAGGTTCGGTAAATTTCTAAACAAAGACTATTATTACTCCAAATATCAAACACTAATAAAACTAGCATGAATTACTTTATTATTTTCAATTAAATAAAACTGAATTAAGATAGTAAAAAAAATTTTAGCTTCTACGTGTCTTCTTTTTAATTTTATTTTACCCGTAGCTTTTATCGATTACCATTAAAAAGTAAGAAAGAGTACTTTCAAAAATAAAACTGCAAAAGTAACAAGCAAAAACAGTATATAATTAAAACTAGCGTATTTTAAGTAAATCTGAAGATAAATAAACATGAATTAATATTTCTAATTAAAATATGAAGAAAAGTTTGAAAGAAAAACTTGTGTAAAGTCTAATATTCATTAGAGACGAATCCCATAACAGTTTCAAAATAAATTTATTTTCAGACGACATATCAAGAATTCGCTATAGGCGAGGCCTTTGCCCTCAAAACATATTCATCATCAAGAAGCAAGCAGTAGCATATAGTAATGTTATCAACAAAAGAACATTTTACCTTTTCCCAACCCCAGCCCGAAAATAATCGTTTGCTACTTCCATTGTTTCGAGTGGTCAATGATCAGGTTTGTTCTTTTATGTTTTGATTTTTTTATTACTTTTTCCCTCCTTCTTTCTCTCCCTCTTTTTTACTTATTTATGTTTTTTGTTGGTAGCTGGTATCCGTAAGAGATAGGTAAAAAGTTGTGAATGTGTGTTGCTTGCCGACTTATAGTCACAGCGGAAGTAGAAAAGGTAAAATAGTTGATGGCATCGCCTTTGTAGTTAATAAAAACAAATAAAAAAAACGTCATTAAAAACTCTATAATTTCATGTCAATGTTAAAATAAATTAACATTTCATTTTAAATTATACTTATTTTGCATCGCAATAGAACTTTGAGAAAAAAAAATCTACAGACGAGTTTGCTTTCGTAGAGTTCGGTTTAGTTTATTTATTTCTCGGTTATAATCTACGCCAAGGATTTTCAATTACTTCTGGAGTTAGAGATAAAAAATATTGATGTCTAAATTAGAAAAAAAAAATTATGATTTAAACTCTTACTAAAGTCCCACGCCAGTGCTTCCCCCCTTTTTTTTATTAAAATTCTTTCTGGAATTAAAAGAGAAAAATATTAACACATAAATGTTAAAAGCTTCCTTCGATTTTGAACCTTTATTGAAGTCGTACACCAGTACTTGTTCTGTTTCATTTTTGAAATTCTTTCTGGAATTAAAAGTGAAGAATATTAACACGTAAATTTTAAAAGCGTTTTTCAATTTTGAACCCATATTGAAATTGTGCGCTAGTGCTTGTTCTATTTTTAAGTAATTAGTTTTTGCTAGAATTGAAGGTTAAAAATATTGACATCAAAATTTTAAAAGCTCTTTTTATGTACTTGATCTCCTTGTCCTGCGTCAATGCTTTTATCATTTTTGTTTCTTCTTTCTTTCTTTCTTTCTTTCTTTCTTTCTTTCTTTCTTTCTTTCTTTCTTTCCTTCTTTTATTTATTTATTTATTTATTTTGAGACTGAAGTTTAAATTACCAAGATCTAAATTCTAACTATTTTAATTTAAATATTTTATTGCATATTTAATTTTTTAATTAAAATTGTAACCTCCTTGATTCCCTAACAGACAAAATGGCTATTACTGTGATGTTTTACTTTAACTAATTTTAAACAAACTTTAAAAGCCTGTTTAAAATTTAAAAAAGTTAAAAAGAAATCTCCTTCGAACATAGTCGAATTTTTTTAAACATTTGAAGAAGATGTTAAGCTAAAATTATTTCAATGATATCACTCTCGCTTTTGCTTTCACATTTAAATTTCAACTTTTATTATTATAGAATTCTAAATGCTCAGCGATTCGCCTTTTTTAAACAAAATAAAAATAAGAAAAACCTAGCTTTAACTTTTTTCTAACTGAACTATTAAACTTTATCTTTTAATATCTTTTAAACATTAAAAAAGTAATTTTAAGCTTTGTTTAAGGAAATTAAACATGATTAGGAGAATAAAAAGAATAAATTATTTTTCCTAAATTTGAGAGAGCGCTTAATCGGTATTTTAGAGCAGTTATAATTTAACATTTACATACCCGGCCGGGCATGTAAGGGTAAAACGTACACGCCCGATCGAAATTTTTACATATCCCGATCATGTCGGACAAAATTATTTTCAAGCCCTGAGAATTATGCATTAGCTTAATTTGAAAAGTCCTCCAGAAATGTAAGTTTATTCAGGGACCGATCAAGACAAATTCAGGCCCAAGGCCCACAAAATTTTCCGGGCCCCTAACAAAATATTTTGAAATTAAATTTCTTAAAAGTGGTCCTAACAATAAAAATAATCTATTGAACTGCATGATTCAAGAGAAACATTCTGAAAAATTTTGAAAGCAGACAATTGAAGATTATTTTTGTAAGATGAAGTTTACGCATCTAAATGTTAAAGCAAAATATAAAATATTGTGTGAAAATAAAAATAGTTCGATGACCACAAACAAGTGAAATCAGTGATTTTTGCTAAAAGTCACTTATTAGCTGAATTATTTTAAAGATTGTAGCCTTCCGTCTACAGCTTTAAGAATAAGCTTTTAGTTCTTGTTGACATTAATCATTTATAAGAGACTTTGCGAACATGGATTCTCGTCGCATTTGCTTAAGCCGTTGGAGTAAAAATTGCACCAATTAAAATTCAGCTGTACTTACGAAATTGATTCGCGCAATGTTTACACGAGTTTGGCTTATCACAATATAAAGAAAATTTGAAATTAAAAAAAAGGCCTTTTTCGAGAAAAACTGTTTCTTTCAGTATTCAACAGAAACAGCAATATTGTTGATTTTTTACTAACTTTTGAGGCCCCCCAAAAAAGTGTGGGCCCTAGTCCCGTGCCTATTGGGCCTAGGCGATAATCAGGCCCTGAGTTTATTCCAGAAATTTATAGAAATTATAATTGAATTCAAGGCTAATCATAAATCCCGTAAATCCGCTACATAGTACCTATGCAATTTGCATAGGGACTATACATGCATAACTATACATTCATGCACACTATAAGTGCAGAAGTACCTGTACAAATTTCGGTTGTATTTTCTTTTCAGAAACATACTATTTCCCACGTTCAAGGAAATTAAAATATTATTACAGTATTACTAAAAAAAAGTATATAAAAAGTAATAAAGCATTCGATATTCTTTCATCTATAAATAAAGAACGCATTCGACCCCTCCCGCGACCTCTGGCCTAAATACCGCCCAACCTAATAACTTATCTTTGGGCTCCAATTATTCCAGTTTTTCAGCACATTTGCTTTCTTTTTTTTTCTAATACAGCAGCTTCATTACCCTTTCGACAAATACATAGTAGATAAGAACAGACGTGAGTACTTAAAAAGTAATTTCCATATTGTTTTAGGTGTTTTTGTTCTTTTCGAATCTTTGTAACACTCAAGGAAGCGAAAAGGGAAACAAAATCGCCAAAAAGCATTTCTCCAGGGAGACTTTTTATTCCATTTCCATTCGATCACAAGGGTAGATCTATTTACTTACGACCTGTTGGGCGTCTTTGTTCTAACGATGGAAGAAAATGTTCTTTTGCAAACGATTTTTTCCATTCTCTTAATGAATGAAACAAGGAGGTTCAACATTGTTTAGTAAGAAAGTTCTCGTTCACACTTTTAGAATGTTATGGCTGAAAAACTTTGATCTAAGCAGTTTTGAAACTTTCAGTTTTCTTGGTTAATAGTGGCAACTAATGACATTTTACCATGATAATGTGCACAGAAGCTTGTACGTCGTGAGAACCGAATAAAAAATATTAAAAAAAACTAACTAAATGGAATTTCTCAAGTTGTAATTTATGGCTACAAAACCTGTAATTTCTTCGTGGTTTTGTGGATAATTTTTTACGGGATGCTAACGATATATCGTCAGTCCATGCTCACTGTGAAAGTTTACAGATAGAAACTCTTTTATGTACCTAAACTGAGAAATTTTATTGTTAAACAGTTATTCAGTTGATGTTCCGTCACGTGATTACGCTCAATTTGTTGCAAATAATCATTCAACTTACTTCGCCAAACGCTGTTAAGCTTCTAATAAATTCGTTCTGAGATTATTATAGTTCTTATGGGTCATTTAGAACTTTTTATTGCACTACTTTCCCCCACGATCAACACCGCTGTTTTGATTAACAATTTTATTTAGTCTGATAGCGTGGGAGTGACAATGAAAACGAAGTGACTTACCGAAACGAAAATGCACTAAAATAATTCCAAATAAAAATATTTTTATTATTAACAAAAACAATATAAACATTTTTTCCTTCTAAAGTAATGTCTAAAGTAATATTATCTGATATACTATAGCGTGAAGTAGAAGACATAGCATTTTGGATTAGACACTGCACCACACTATGGCTGTCTTAGGAGTGTTGACGGTTACGTAAAAACAAAATATTTTATAATTTTTCCACAGGACACCGTTCGTTTAAAAATAGTGTAAGAATCCGGATATTTTTTCTTAAAAAAAAAAACGTGCTTATATAAGTGTTAAGTGCATAAACATATTTACAATTTTCAAAATCTTACAAAATTTATTATTTTGAAGAGGCTCTGAACTTTTAAAGATATTTACATTTTTTGTAGTTTTCGCGCTCAGTTAAAGACACAAAAACGATTAAAAATATATTTTTTAAAATAATACTTGAGTGAAAGTTCATTAATTTTCAGAAAAATTTGTTTGCCGTGGTCAGTACTCTGGATAAAAAATAATAAATCAAGGAAATATTTTGAGATCGTGAACAATTTAGTTTCAAGTAAATCAGGATGAATTTAATAACAAAAAAAAATTTTTTTTGAATAATTAACAAACTTTTTATTAAAAATATTGATTTGAAAGACCCCTTAAACCCTTTAAAAATTAATATGCAGTGAGTGGTTTGCTAATATTTTAGATGCTTTTTAGATTCATGTCATTAAATTTTTATTGGCTTTTTGCGCTTGCGTACTATACAAAAAACATAAGAAATTTTTTGAAAAGTGCAGAAGTCGCATTAAAAATCATTTTTAATATGCATCCTTCTATTTTGTAAAGTGTCTTTTTAAAAAATAAATCAATAAATAAATTTTTTACTTTTCGAACATTTAAAAACCAAAAGGAAAAAACGGCTTATGTTCATTTTTCAGAAAATCACGATTCAATCACTATCTGCTGCATTTTGAGGATTAGTAAGTTTGGACAAATCAACAGCGTGAAAAATCAGTTCTCCCAGAGAGTTATTACACATTGAAGATGGGCCATGTTGGGGAAAATAGGTTCTTGTCCAAGGCGAACAAATAATATTCAAAAAGAGAACGGGATTTCAACTGAGAAAGTCCAGGATTTCCAGGAAAAAACGATTCTTGTCCAACCCGAGTTTCAAATTTTATTTTTTCTTAACATCTAAGTTTTGCTTTGAAATTTTCAGGGGGTGTAAATAAATGCTTGTGATATTTATATATATTTTTGTTTTTACGATTTCAGTCGTAAGCTAGCCCCTGAATAATCGCAAATCTTCAAATTTGTTTTTTCTCAGAATTAGCT